CCACTACAAACGGAGGGCCGAGGAGACGTCGTGATGGGGGATGGCGGGGACGGCCCTTGGCTCTGCTGGGTGAGGCCAGGGAAGAGGGGTCAGCTGGGGGCGGCGAGAGCTGAGGCCTGGGAACTCGTGTCGCTTGTGAGCCCTCTGCTCTCCCAGCCTCTCCTGACCCTCGTCGCAGCTGGGGGGACTGGTTTTGCCTGTTCAGGTACCCCAGTCCCAATCCTGTGGCATCCTCGTGCAGGCATTGCGCTTCTCCCAGTCTCCATCCCCGGCTGCGTCTTCCCGCCTCCGCAGCACGCTGGTACCGGCACTAAAGGGCTCACCTTCCTCCCGGTTCAGTCTTACTGGTGGGACTGGGAGTGCTGCCTGCCCCGTGGAGGGGCACGGCCCCACTGGCCAATAAAATCTTGAAGCGGAGTGCCTCTGCCTGTGCCCTGGTGGCTCTCGGCCCCGGGTGGGAGGTCTGGGGTCTCCGGTGGGGACCCCCGGCTGGTGAGGGGGGATAACGCTGGGGTCTGCAGGAGCTGCGCTGGCAGCCCAGTGCCACTTGCTGCTGCCCAATGTCTGCCTTGCCTCCTCTTCCTCCCTGGGGGGAGCTCTGGCCCCGTGTCTGAGCGATGCGGGCTCTGGGAGGAGCGGGAAGCGGGGAGGAATTGATGCTGGCCAAGGCTTAGCCGGCTCCTGCGACAGGGCTGAGGCCTCACAAACTCGCTGCATGGGGTCTGCTGCTCAGGGGTGCCTGGCCATCGCTCACACAACTGCTCTTCTTCCTCCTCTCTGCCTGGGGCCGCCGTGCGGGTACCGGGGATGCCGTGCGGGGATGCTGGGATGCAGCAAGGGGCTGGTTGGTCGCTAGCCCAGGGGCTGCCAGGGGGTCCAGCTCTGATCATGGTGCTGCTGCCCGCTTTCCCCTTCCCTCTGCCCACTCCTCGTGTGGGGCGGTGGCAGCAGCCCGGTCGCTGGGCTGAGCTGAGGGAAGCTGCAAGGAGCTCGGTGCTCTCCCCACCTGCAGCCTCTTCCCCCGGGAAACCCCAGGACTGTGCAGGGGTAGGTCCTGCACAGCTGACGTGGGGGGATGCCCAGAGCCATCTGCCAAAACAAATAGTTTTTATTTGTCACTGAAGAGCCATTCTCATAACTCTTTAATGAGGCCCTTATCCTTGTCAAGTCCATGAGCGGGCTCCTGGGAGCCAGAAATACCTTGCGAGGAGAGAAACGCTGTCGTTCTGCCTACAATATGACAGTCTGGGGGGAGGGCTGTGCCCCCCATGCTCCATCTGTGCATCGTTCCCCCATCGCTGCTCATGGGGCTGGGGCAGGGAGAAGGGCCCGGCCGGCGTGAGGCTCGGAGCCGGGCTGGATGCAGCCATCCTGCGTGCTGACCCCATCCTCCTCACCCATCGCCCCATCCCAGAGCCCACAAGCCATCCCACCACCGGGCCTCAGCGTTCCCCGGGTGCCCGAGGGTTTTGGGGAGGAGGCGGTGGGTTTTGGGGCGACCCTTGAGCTTAGAGCCATTGTTGAATGCAGCATCCCCCCACATGGTGTGGGGGGTTTCCAGCTCGGTCTGGCCTCTTGCAAACTGAGTTCTTCGCTCCTGGGACAAGCGGCGTCTGTCTGGGCTCTGCGACCGTCCCCGTCTCAGCCCCCATCCCTTCTCATCGCAACAAGTGCCTTCGCGCCAACCTCCGAACTTCGCCGCTCTTCGGGCCCTGGAAAAGCGGCAACGAATTGGTTTAAATGTAAGAATCCAGATTGGGGTAATTAGCCACTGAACCAGTTGTAACGAAGCTAGTCATCTCCCTGCACGCGCAGTTAGCTCTGATTTAATAGCCCACCGGCTCCCAGCCTGGGCTGCAGCGCCTCGGCCCGGGGCCGTAAATGAAACTCGCAGTAAGTCAAGCGGTATTAAACTTTACAGTCACCGTCTTTAAAAACGAGGCGCTCTCTCTAATAAATCAGAGCAAGTGGGGTTGTAAATATTGAGGCAGGATCCATATTGCTTAATTAAACAGCGCCTAATGAACAGCCTGTTTGTTGTGTTGTGATTTAGGGTGGAGGCTGGGGAGGCGGCGCGTGCCGAGGAGCGCTGGTACCCGTGCCGGGATGCCGTCCCTGGCAGACAGCAGCTGCTGGAGTTTAGCTGCTGCTAAAATAGCTCAGAGACAGCCTGAGAATTAGTTTTTAAATTTTTTTTTTAAATAAAAAGCAAAATTTTCCCCCCCAAAAAGGCATCTGAAACATTCAAAGTGGAAGTCGGCAGCAGGTGGAGGAGGAGGTGGGGCTACAGCCGGCTGTGAGAGCTGGACCCTGGCTACGCTGAGCCCCCCCCCCGGTTCCTCATGAAGGATCCACATCCTCTTGCCCCGACATTTTTAGCTTCTGCGAGGGGATGTGAACGGCTAGGAGGGAGGAATGAGCCTTTGCTGTACATGGGGAGATGTCGGGCTGGTGCGAAAGGAGCTACTGGGGAGGCCCAGGCATTGCAATTCATAGGAACCGTTGCTGCCGTGCTGCAAAGCCCCGAAGCCTTTCGTGTTTTGGTAGTTACAATCCAGTTGTAATCAAAAAGCGATTTACGGCGAGGAGATTAAAAACGCCTAGCTGGGTGCGGGGTGGTGGAGGGGAGGGTCTGCGGGGCACCCAGCCGTTCTCCTGACCTGGAAGTGTCAAAGGGAATGATGAGGCTTGTTGGGATGCCCTGCAGCGATGTGTCTTACCACCATTTCACTTCTGCGGGGGAGCTATTGGAGATCATCGCAGGAAAAGTGTCCCTGTGGTCACCCTTGTCCTGAGCCCCTGCCCCCCCAGCACCAGGGCAAAGAAGTCCTCCACAATCCCTGCCCTGAGCTGCTCTGGAAGGACGAGCCAGGCAGGCGATGGGGGGCATGAGGGGAGCTTAGACAAAGGTCAAGCGTGGGGTTATGCATTAAAAACGCATCGAGGTCCCGTGGAGGCATTTGCTCCCTCTGTGGTGTGTTAATAGGGCTGTGAGGGTTTAGCAAAGGGCCGTGGTGGTTCTGTGCTGGGCCGGCACATCCTGCGCTCTGCAAGGAGCAAGGAATAAGCCCAGCAGGGGATGCAGAGATGCAGAGGTGTTTGAGGGGGGTTGACCAGGAATTCAGTCTCATTTCCATCCCATTTTCTGATGCCACTGGAACAAACGGGTCAGGCTACCAGGGGACATCATTTCCCCAGACCTGCTGGGGCATTGGCTTGACTGAGACAAACCAGTGTGCTTGCCCAGGGTTGCAGCAGCGCCTGTCTTCGTTGTTGCCCCGTCCCGTGTGTTTGAGAGACACAGAGCATCCCCAGCTCTGACACCAGCTGCCTCTGCGGCCGCAGTTCAGTCCTGGGATGCGACTCCAGGATGCTGCCGTGGTGCACAGAGATGCTTTGGTGCAGGCACGCAATGATGGAGGGTTGCTATGTTTGCCACTTTTGATTACACATCCCTGTCCTAGGCAGCTCCAGAGCTGCTGCGGATCCCGAATCCCAAACCCTGCCCACCCCTCTTCCTCTCCTGCTTGCCTTGCAGCCCAGGTGAGACAATAAATATTGAGCAAAGGAAGTTAATCTGTGACCAGAGTGTTTTAATCAGAAAAAAAAGTATTAGTGCAGGCCTGCTGGCTCCTGCCAAACTGCTGTTTTACTGTCCCTCCCGGTACCGGGTTTATGGCTGTCATTTCATTCCAGTTTTACTGTTGTTTTTTGCCCTTATCGTTGAGTTTCTCCTTGCCTGCTACTGCCTGTTACTGAATGGGGCTTTTAGGAATGTAATAAGGAAGAAATTAGCAAATTTTTAGGGAGGAAGAAGAGAGGCAAGGGAGGGAGGCAGGGAGGAACAGAGAAAGGGAGGAATGATGAAGGAAGAAATGGAGGGAGGAAGAGAGGAGGAAAAGAGAGGAGGGAGGGAAATAGGGAGGGAGGGAAGGCTAAATCCCTCCCGTTGTATCTAAAAGACGCCATCAGGCACTAAACAGGGAAACAATTAAAAACTTTAAGCAGATGCTAAACACCCTGGTGCCCTGCAGCAGGCAGCTCTGTGCTGTGGGGAGATCTGCCATGCCAGAACAATGACAAACAAAACCTAAACTCATTTTAGATCTTGGCTTAGAAGGACACAGAGGGGCATGGCAGAAGCCTCTGGGGCAGCAAAGAGCACCCAGCTTGTTCTGGTCTGCCTGGAACAGCTCCCCTGGCTCCAGCAGCCCCCTCGGCAGTGACTTTGCAAAGGGCTGAGACCAGCAGGAGAGCAGTTTCAGAGGTGACGTGCCCATACCTCAGGCAGCTGGTGTTTTTTCCTCTGCTGATGGTCACCAAGACCTCCCTGCAAGGCATTTTCAGAGCCCTCGGGGACCATGTGTTGTGGGAGGGCTGCCAGTCCCAGGTGGACACAACGGGGTGTCTGGATGCTGCCTGCCAGCAGCAGAAAGCCACAGGCTGTGCATGGGCTTTAGGACAGCAGCCCTAGGGCTGGAATTTAGTTTGTTCTTCCTCTGAGACGGGCAGGCAATTAAATACCATCACACTGCAGCATCCATGCGGTCACTATGCAGTGGATTCTCCTGTCTCCACCTGAATTTCCTGCACACCCAGGGTTGGGGAGGCATCTTGGGGCTTGGCTGTCAGCAATGGGGACTTGCCATTGCATGTGGTTTTGAGCTTCTATCCCATCCTGGCACCCCATCCGAGGGTCAGAGGACGTCAGTCTAGAGCCAGGAGAACCACAGGAGGGTCCAGATTATTGTTGAATTCACCCCAGATGTTGGGAGCCAGGGAGGGAGGCGAGCAGATGTGGGTGGGAGGGCAGGGTGCTGGCCTGAGCTGGGGGCAGCTGACAAGCTTGACTGCAAAAAGGGGTTATCCACCAGTGGGGGAGATGCTGGGGGAAGGCAGGAAGGTGTGAAATCCAGCTGGCTTCTGGCATGGCCGAGGTCGGTCACCCCATCTCTCCCTGGCACTCCACAGCTGCCCAAGCCAGCTGTGAGAGCTCACAAACATCGTGCCTGCCCCATGGCCACCGGGAAGGAGCGATCCCCCTTTGTCCTGAAGTTCCAAAGAGGGAAGCCATAAATTATTGCTGATTATGTTAAGCAATGCTGAAGAACTAGTAAAAAAGCCCTGGGAGCAGGGACACCTCACAATGCTGGGATGATTCCAGTGTGGAAAGTCACCTCTGGGGTTTGCCTGGGTGTGAGGTGACTCCTGGCAGAGGTCAAGCCCATGGGAGAGCAGAGGAGGTGGAGATATTCTAATTAGACGCTAAGGAGAAAGTAACTAATAGGTCTCCAGCCGGCCCGGTGCCCTCAGGCTCCCTTGCCCAGCTCCAAGCCAAACCACCTGCTTCAGGGCACCAGGGGTGGTCTGAGATCCGCAGGGCATGGCTGGGGGTGGGACGAGCCAGCTGCTGCTCCCCACGCATGCTGCCACGCTCAGCTGCAACAAAACGTCCTCATAAATTACCCCTGTGAAACAAAACGGGACAGATAAAAGCCAAAAGTGCATTTGCAGCCTGTTTGCTTTTGGTGTTTAATCCCTCTTTTATATTGCTCGCAATTTTCTGTATCTCATGGCAGCTTGTCTGCTCTCTCCTGGTGAAGTGTTTGAGCTGGGAGGCAGGACTCCTGGGCTGCCTGTGCTGTCCCTGTCAGCAAGTCGCTGCCCTTCCTCGTGCCTCAGTTTCCCCATGGTTTGAATAAGATCGATAACACAGAGGCCAGACCCCGTCCATCTTGGCTGACTGGGCAGGAGGACCCCCTGTGCCAGCCCTGCAGAGACCTCTGGGCTGTGTGAGGACTGGTGTGACACCCTCGCGGTGATTATGGCTTGGACCTGGCTCCATCCCACCCAGCACGGGTCTCGCGGGTGAAAGAAAACCTTTTCCAGCCCTGGGGCTGGCTGCTGCCCCAAAGCAAACTTGCCCAGCACACTGCTGGGTTTGTGCACTCAAACTGCCAGTGCAATACTAATTCACACAATAAAAAAAATCCCCTACATTAAATTAAATTTAATTTTAAGAATTAAAAATTGAATTCTCAAGTGGGCTAGAAATGGAGTGAAAGAGAAGCCGGGATGGGTACCCAGGATGCCAGCTTGACTTTTAACCAATCTCATCCTGTTTTCGCGTTCCCCCTCAGATCAGAGATGCTCAGAAAGCATCTGGCCAGTTCCAGCTGCTTCCACTGCGCTTCGGTAACAGCAGGACCCCATTCCATCGCATCCCGGTATGCCCCCTCAGAAGTAGCCGATACATTGGCACCGGGGAAAAGAAAAGACCCCAAGCCTCTGCCGGGGTCTAAAATGTCCCCCCGCCTGAGGAGTAGCCGGTGCGTCGGGGACTGGAAATGATTATGATAAAACCTGCGGGACAGCAAGGGCATCACTATGATTTGTGCTGTCTAAATGTTAATCAGAATAATAATGCCTATTGAGACAGCTGTTTTAAAAGGCTGTGATGTTGGAGTAAAAATTCCAATAAAACTCTATTAGCCCTTCCTCGTTACACTAATGGTGCCTGCTGCTAAAAGCCCCCTGCTATAGACACCCGTATTAATGGGCTTATTACAGGAAATAAAATCCGAGGCTGAACATTACAGTGAAGCCTGATTAATTCAGCAAGGTAATCTTTTTTTTTTCTTCCCCCTCCTCTCTCGCTTTTCTTTTTCTCTCCCCCTTTATTTAATGAATGTGCTCCTTGAAGTGCCAACTTTTGAGGTTTGCTTGGAGTTTGGTGATGATTTTAAATTTAATCACAAAGAGACGAATCTTTGCTCTGGCTCCTGGTGCAAATGGTTGGTGAAAGGCTTCTCAGATGCTTCCATCAAACTGGGGAAGAGAAGAAAATCAGCCAGACCAGGAGAGAAGATACTAGGGAAGGGGGAACAATGAGTAGCCCATGGATGGTCCTGACGTGGCGAGTCTCGGACTGGTACAGCCTGCTGCTGATCTCCATGCAGGTGCGTGGTGACATTGGCCAAGGCGAAGCTGCTGGGGAGACGAGCAGCCGCCCTTCACTGCTCGTCCCCATCCTTTTTTCTCCTAGTTTCTCCTCCTTTGAAGCCACCCTCTTCCCTGCAGGAAGGGCTGGCCAGGGCCCAGGGCTGTATCCGTGTTTGCTGGTGCCATACCAAACCCACAGTGGTGGCACCTG